CATGGAGGGGAGCACACGTGGCAGACAAACAATGGTGCTAGAGAATTTTCTGAGAGTTCTGCCTCCAGATCTAAAGGAAGCAGGAAGAGAGAGAGAGCCATTGGGCCTGTCCTGGACTTTTGAAACCTCAAAGTCCACTCCCAGGGACACACTTCTTCCAACAAGGCCATACTTAATCTTTCCCAAATGACTAAGCATTCAAATATATGACTCTATGGGAGCAATTCTTATTCAAACCACCACAGACACCACGAGAAAAGTAACACATTAGCTTCAAGTATTATTTCTTCTAACTAACTCATTCATGGAACCTAATACAGAAGTTTTACATGTATCTCAGTGAATTATTTTAAGGGCCAACAAGATGACTCAGTAAGTTAAGATGCTTTCTTACAAGCCTGTTGGCCTGAATTTGATCCCTGGAATGTATATGGTATGAGAGAACCAACTCACACAAATTTCAAGAGCTGTAGCTTAATTCTGCTCTCTGGAATGGGGTGGGGGGGGAACTTCATGACTCACTTGTACTAGAATAGACCAGAATGGCTGCCCAGGCTCTTTGGAATGGCCAAGGCCAAAAGCGGTGGGGGGGGGGGGGATATTGAGACAGGGTTTCTTTTTGTAGCCTTGGCTGTCCTGGAACTCACTCTGTAGACCAGGCTGTGTTTGGACTCACAGAAATCTGCCTGTCTCTGCCTCCCAAGTGCTGGGATTAAAGGTGTGTGCCACCGTGCCAGGCTCCTAAAACATTTTAAGTTCCCCTGATTGCTTCAGGAATTTGAATCCTGGAGTGGCCACAGCAAACAAGCAGAGCCTGTAAGGACCTGACTCCCACATGCAACTCTAGAGATGGGAGTCTAAAGTCAGCGTGCACCCCTTCACAGGGACCGGGGGAGGACCCTTCCCAGCTCTCCTAGCAGCTCAGGGTGACCTCATCTCTCCGTCTTTAATGAGGCCAACCTCCACAAGAATGTCTCTCGTGTGCAGCCACGGGCCCAGGAGTCAGGAGGTGCACACATAATCCAGCAACCCCAGTGAGCGGGCATCTCTTCATTGAAACCCTCAGCTGAGGGTCCCTGGGTCCCTCCCAGCCTGTTCCAGGAAAGGGACTCCAAAGCAGAGCTTGCTTTTGCCCCCTTATGCTCTCCACTCTTCATTGCCAGAAGCATCTTTGCTGGGGGTCCTAGCCTTCCCCCTAAGCCTGGGACAAAGGTCAGTAGGATCACGGACTTGCAGAGGACTCCTTGCCTTGGGTTTGACCTGGTCAGCTTTATAAGGGAAGATACAGCTCAGTTCCCAGCAGTTGGGGTTGGGAGGCATCAGTAGAACCAGCAATGTGGTTGATTTTCCTTATTCTTTATTCTTTGCTCTTTGTCATATTTTTTTTTCTTGGAAGATCTCAAAACTGTCCAAAGAGAAGTGTCCAAGTCTAGCCCTTGGGTTTCCACTATGTAGATGGTGATCTGTGGGGAAATGGCATTCCTAATGGCCTACCCTGGGGGTCTGGCTTGTTGACCATATAGAGTAACCAGAGAAAGTCCTTGTGCTCAGTAGGGCACCTCCACTTTTTTCACTTCCTCTCTTCTCTCTATCTCTACCTTGCCACCTCCTAAATCCCCCTTCATGCCCTATACTCCCTTTCTGATGCTTGTCCTTCCTGCTCACAGGCATGGTCTTTTATTAGGAGACCATGGCCTGGCCACTTGATGCTAGCAAAATGGATGGATGGATGGATGGATGGATGGATGGATGGATGGATGGATGGATGGATGGATGGAATGCTCAATGGTCTGATCCATGAGAGGTGCGTCACCAATGATATGGGGTCGACAGCTCTTCCCTTGTCTGCTTCGGGACTATGATATGGTGACCATTGCAACCCGTCTGCTTCAGAGTAACCCAGACGGAAAACGGAAGTGTCCCGGGTGCGTGGGGAGTGAGACCAGATGCCTGAGTGGGGCGGGAGCACGACAGGAGCGGGCCCGGAGCCGGCCGAACGGCCCTCCTGCAGCGTCGCGCATGCTCTGTGTCCACCTTTGCGCCCCATTCCCACACCGCCGCCGCCGCCGCCCCCGCCCCGGCCCTGACTGCTTGCGCACCCTGCTCCTCCGCAGCCGCGGCGGACCTGGCTTATGGACAGCCACGCAGTACAAACCTCCTGAACAGAGGTGAAATCGACAACAGTTTGAGAGCTCTGAGTTTTGCAGGGGCGCCTCCCGGGAGAGCTTCTCGGAGGCAGCATCCTTAGCCTCGGTTCTGCCCACAGTAGGGTTGCAGAGGGAAGACCAAACGTGCGTGGCGCGCAGGTACGCAGGCAGGCTGGAAAAGAGAGGCGCTGCGGGTCGCAGGCCCATCTCAGCAGCGGTGCGGAAGGGTGGACACAGGTGGCTGGAGGGTGGAAATTGGAGCGGTGGCGGAGGTGTTTGGGGAAGCCTTGGGCTGTGGGCCAACATTGGAAGGACTGGGCAGGGTGGCTCGGGAATGCCCCTTTCTAGCGCCTCGGGGAAGAGAAGCCGGCCTGGCTGGGCTCTAGGGAACTGAAGCCATCTTTTTATGTTTCTCTCCTGATTTTCAGACGCTGTTACGGGGTCTGGCACAGGAGCATTGCACTGCTGATCTACCCAGGTAATTTGGGTTTTGCACCCCTGGGTGTGGGAACACCTCCAGGCAGGCTCAAATTGTGTGATCATGGCACTGTTACACAGGGGTGCCTGGCCAACAGTCCGCAGGTACAATCCCTAAGGGCCCCCACACTGGGACAGGACGTCAAAATCCTGAACTTGTGGCTCTTAGGAGTGGAGGGTTGTGTGTGTTGACCAGTGCCCAGCGTGCTTCCCCCATTCAAGGGAAGAGCAATAAGCTTAACTAAGCCAATGCCTGGGAAGGTAAGAGCAGAGTGAGGTGGGAAGGGGTGAGATAGTGAGCAGAGCTGAACAGAAAACTGCGGTGCTAGGATGACTAGTTCCGTCTGTCAAAGATCTGCCAAGACCCATTAGGAGCCGGGTTCTTGCAGACTTCTCTGAGATCTGGCAGAGAAGGAGATGGCAAAAGTCTCTGCTCTACGCTTGGAGTTCTAGTGACAGCACAGACCATGAATCATAAACGGCTTAAAATGGTAGCTGCATAGGATGAATGAAAGATAGTGGGAGCTGAAAAAGGCGCAGTTGCAAGCTTAGGTGCTGTGACTAGAAAAGGTGATGAAATAATAAGCCATGTGCTTCTGTTTTGGAAGAATATTCTAGACAGAAGGAATAGCTGGTACGAAAGTCCTGAGGCAAGAGTGTTCTGACTCCTGAGAGGCCAGTTTGACTACAGCTGAGGGAGGAATTGGGAAGGGTCTTGTGAGTTTACTCTGAGTGACAATTTTGGTAAGGCTGTGGGCAGAAAAGGCCAGGATCTGACCCACCTATTCAGAGGATCAGCCATGGTTGGCCCTGTCTAGGCCAGCCTTGGTTCCCGCCTCCTAGAACTAAGCCTGGGGCCTGTAGTCACAGGGGAGACCCCTGAGGGCTTTGGCGGGACAGGCTCCTCAGATGGCCCTCTCTGGCTCTTCTACCAGGTCCGGAGGAAGGGCAGGAACAGCAGGTGGGGTGGAGAAGAAGTATTTGGGAGTCTTGAGTTGCTAGACCCCAAGGAAAGTTCCACCCTAAGTAACCTACATCTCCCTTCTTGTAGATGAAAAGGCCCCCAAATCCCCTTGTGATGTAAATAAGGAGGATTCTGAATTTTTTCTTGCTGTTTATTTGGTGGGGTTAAGGTTTCTTTGTCTGGGAAAAGTGCCCCACCTCGTGGTAGCCTGTAGGATGGTGCTCTGAGGCTCTGAGCACCACACGTCCTGGCTTCTCACCCTCCTCCCCTCCTGCTCCTTGAAAGCAGGAGTGGGGGAAGCTGGTCTGTGAGCAAGACCCCTGGCAGGACCAAAGCCTAGGGGAAGGGGTGTTCAGTTTACAGGCTGATCTGTTTCCTAGATGATCGCCCTGAGACCCCAACCTTATATGGGGACAAACCTGAGCTTCAAGGCTTAGAATCACCTTTCAGCTTGTCCTGTGTTCTGGAGGCCCACAAAGGTAGCCAATGGAAGGAAGGTGTTCTCCAGTTCCACCAAGCTTCTTCCAGAGCTTACACACACACACACACACACACACACACACACACACACGAGCATGCCATCCAACAGACTGGAGTTACATAGTAGTTACCTGGGATCCCCATGAGGTTTGTTGTGTCTTGGCAAGAGCTGAAATCATGCCTGACTTTCAGGGGGTAGGTCTCAAGGACAGACAGTGGTGTGTAGCCCCCTTGTGTGACTATCACTTCCAAGGGTCTATCCTTCCACAGGTAAAACCATGTCCATGGGCCTGACTCTAAGGACAACGTAACAGAAGTGTACCACCTCAAATGTGGGGAGGGATGGGCTGAAGCAAGTGGACTTCTGACTTCTCTGAAATGGATCGTGTCAGCATGGTGCCATTATGGTGGGAAACAAACCTGCATTGTTTTTGTTTAGCGTGAGAGAGAGTGCACCATGATGCGCACAAGATCAGAGGACAATTTGGGGAAGTCGGTTTCATCTACAGATTTGCACTATCATATGTTTTGTTTGATTAAAATGTGAGTTTCAGAAATCAAATCCTGATTGTCAGGCTTATATGACTAGTGATTTTACCTGCAGAGTCATCTCCCTGGATCATGTTTGGGTTTTTTGTTTGTTTGTTTGTTCAGTTGATTGGTTTTGTTTTTTGTTGTTTGCTTGGTTTTGGTTTTTCGATACAGGGTTTCTCTGTGTAACCCTGGCTGTCCTAGAAGACCTCGAACTCACAGATCTGCATGCTGCTTCCCCATAATCATGTTGTTTCTTTAAAACTGTATATATATATATATATATTTCAAGACAGGGTTTCTCTGTAGCTTTGGAGCCTGTCCTGGAACTCACTTTATAGACCAGACTGGCCTTGAACTCACAGAGATCTGCCTACCTCTTCCTCCTGAGTGCTGGGGTTAAAGGTGTGTGCCACCACCACCAGGCTTAAAACAGTAATTTTAACCTGAAACACTGGGGTCATCTCCTCCACACTCTTTTGGTGTTGTAGTGTATCAATAATGAAATGTGGATGTAACCCGTGGACATCCAAATGATCAAGAGAACCCCTTTCCCTTCTTATTTGTGTGTATGTGTGTACGTTTTTGTGTGAGAATTTGGATGCATGTCTATGCAGGGAGGCCAGAAGTCCATGTAGGGAGGTCTTAGCTGGTTGTTCTCTACCTCAGGTCCCCCTTCTTGGTAAGTAAGCACTTTATCAACTGAGTCATCTCCCCAGCCTCCTTTCCCTCCTTTTTTGATGAGGCAAAAGTCACTTACCATAAAAGACACCATTTGCAGGGCCGAAAAGATGACTTTATGGTTAGGAACACTGGTTGCCCTTACAGAGGGACTGGATTCAATGTCCAAAACTCACATGGCACCTCATAACCATCTGTAACTGCAATTTCAGGGGATCCAATGTCTGCTTCTGGTCTCTGTGAGCACCAATAATCCACTGATACACAAACATGCATGCAGGAAAACACCCATACACATAAAACAATAAAAATTTAAAAATTCAAACTTAAAGGCACTATTTTAAAGGAAGCTATCCAGTGCATCTGCTCCGAGAGAATTTTCATCGCTTCATGAAGAAACCCCTGAATCCACTACATCACTCTTCATATCTGGGCTCCCAGGCCAGATTTCTGGCTATGAATTTGCCTCTTTCAGACTCAGTATATTCTATAAAGATTTTGAGGGAGTTCACTACACAGTGACATTGTAGCACAATAAAGGCAGCAAGAATTCTCTTATTTGCACCCCTGAATGAGAGAAAACAGCCACTTGGGACCACATGGAGGTGCATTTAGGGACAGGGAAACTGTTAGGATATCTTGTGCATAGCAGGAATTGGGCCAGTTCCTTGTGGGATTGTAGGAGCCATCTAGTTTTCTGGGATCTAGTCCCTGATTGAGAACCCAGTAAGAAAGCCGGGGGCAGGGTGAGTATTTAGTGGCTGTAAAGACTGAGACCTTATAGGATGTGGTAGGAATGGGGGCTTAGCAACTGCCTTTAAAAGACAAAGATTTTAGCCACAACTAAAAACTAGGTCAAGTCAGCTCTTGTGAAATGTCATTACATCATATAAATGGAATCATAAAATATGTGGCCGTTTGTGTCTGGATCTGGCATTTTTAACTTTGCAAAAAATCCCCAAGGTTCATCCATGTTGTAGCATACGTCATAATTTCCTTCCTTTCTAAACACAAATAATGTTCCATTGTTTATATACACCGCATTTTGTTTATCCATTTGTCTGCTAATGGACGCGTGGAGTTTCTGCCTTTTGGCTAGTGTGACTGCTATGAATGTGTGTGTATAGGTTTTTAGTGTAGACACCTGTTTGAAATTATTTTCAGTATGCGCTCAGGAGTGAAATTGCCTGGCCATGTGGTAACTGTGCTTAATTCATTGAGTAACCATTCAGATGGATTTTTTTCCCTTGTGTTGCAGGAGAATAGGCATTGAGTGTATGTATGTTTCCATATGAAAGGACATACACACATGGCAGCGCACGTGCACATGCATATATGTATGTATGAAGGCCAGAGGTAGATATTAAGTATCCTCCTCAACAATTCTCCACCTTATGTATGGAGAGATAGTCTCACTTAAACCCAGGGCTGCTCAACTGAGCTAGTTAGTGTTAGCTAACCAGCTTGCTCCAAGGATCCCTGTCTCTGTTTCCTGTGTACTGGGATTACAGATGGGCCAACACACCCACCTGGTATTTGTATAGGTGCTGGATATCCACTCTCCATTCTTGGCACTTGAACTATAACCCCACTGAACAATCTCTCCAGCCACAAATGGTGTGTGTGTAATATGAATGTGTGCTTAAGAGTACAGGTTCTATAAAGGCCAGAGACATCTGATCTCCTGGAGCTGGAATTAGAGATGGAAGTAAGACATCTGATATGGGGACTAGGAATTGAACTTTGGTCCTCTGGAAGAGCAGCAAATGTTCTGAACCACTGAGCCATCTCTCTAACCTCTTAAATGATCTTTTTCGTGTGAGTCATAGAAAATTCATCAAAAGCCAGGTAATGGTGGCACACACCTTTAATCCCAGCACTCAGGAGGCAGAGGCAGGCAGATATTCATGAGTTCAAGGCCAGCCTGGTTTACAGAGCAAGTTCCAGGACAGCCAGAATTGTTACAGAGAGACACCCTGTCTCAAACACCCCTACAAAAAAGAAACTTCATCAGAAACATGACTTTATAATTGGTCAATGTTGATTGACAGTTCATCAAGGGATCTGGGGACAGTTTAAATTTCAGGTAAATATGTGGCTGTCCTTGTGTTCCCTAGACTCCATCCCTTCTTCTCTCCTGTGGCCTTATCACTGGCAGACAAACAAGCTTTACTTGCCCACCAGGCAAATAAAAACTCTTTCAAGCCATTGCCACACTGGACTTCCTCCTGGTTTCTCTGCTGCTCCACTCAGGACTCTCAAGTCTGGTTGAACAACATTCTTGAAATGGTCATTTAACTGACAAGCTTCTATACTAACTGATGCACAGAACTCCGAGGCTAAAGTAAACTTTATCTATTCTGTCGACCTTCAAGCCCTTGGAATGAGAAACAACTTCCTGCTGTCCTCACCCAGTCTCATTGCTTGTGTCCATCATCTCAGTTCTTAGCAACACAAGCACTACTGACGGAGAGCCATGTCCAGGACTTTTATTGCCTGTGTTCCCTCGCAACCACATTGCCACTCTCAGCCTACCATCGCCTCGTCAGAGTGCCGCCACTCTTCTCTTTCTGCTCACACTCCACTGTGCCTCACGGTGTCCCACCCTTCTCTTTCTGCTCACTAGCAGCTATCACTCTGCACCTGGGAGTTGAATTGTGTGTCTGGAGGGTTTTTTTTTTAACATGAACCCAGACACTAAAGGAAGAGGAACCCATAAATGGAGCTTCCAGGAATGTCTGGAAACTTGGGGGGGGGGATCAGAAGAAAGAGATTTAAAAAATGAAGGAAATGAAGGGGGTTGCAGAGACAGCTCAGCCTTTTAGAATACTGGCTGATCTTCCAGAGGATTGGGGTTTGATTCCCACTACCCACGTGGTGGCTCAAAACTGTCTGTAATTCTGGTCCCAAATGATCTGACACCTTCTTCTGGTTTCCTTGGGTACCTTGGGTTATATGTATGGTACTTAAACATACATATAATCAAAATAAAATAAATAAAAATAATTTTTAAAAGAAGGCAATGATAGAGAAAGAGCATGCTCTTTTGGAAGGCTGGAGAGGGCATATGAGCAAAGTTGGTATGTGATCCCTGGATTTTGGCCCACTCAATGGGCCAAAATAGAAAAGCATGAAAGCTAAGTTTGGGAATGTGTTGAGGACTGAATTGCCTTGTGTCTCTACAAAATGATCGCTTCATGTCCCATCCCCAACTGCCTGGGAAGATACCTTTACTTAGAAGTAGGACTTTGGAAATGTAAGTAAGGTTAAAATGAGACCATATTGGAGTATGGTAGGCCCTAATTCAATGAATAGTGTCATATAACAGTAGGGAAATTTTGATCCAAGTGCACATAGAGAAGACATCCATGTGAAGATTCAGGAAAGCATTGGAAGGATGCAGCTACAAGTCAAGGATCACTGGATACCACCCAGTGGCTGAAAGAGGCAAGAAAAGCAGCCTTCAGGATGAAAGGAGGACCCACCCACCCCCAGCGCCTAGATCTCAGGCTTTCAACCTGCAGAACTGGGAGAAAATATGTATGTATGGTTTTAAGCCCCCTGCAGCAGGTACCTTGTTGCAGTGGCCCCATCAAGATATAAGGAAAGTGTGGTGATCTGTAGCCTAGGTGAAGCTTCCAGAGTGAGAAAACCCATTGCCTCGTCCTCCAAGGAGGGTGCAGAAACTGGCCTCTGGGAAAGAAACCCACCCTTTCTTTGGGACATACCTCATTCACACACACCACAGCATTCACTGTCTCACCTTGCTACTCTCTGGCAAGAAAAATAAAGCAGGTTTTGAAACAAGCTGAGGTTGGCTGCACCGAGCCACCCTGATCTCACTGACCCTCTTTGCTCTTCTCTCAGCCTTTCAGCTGTGCCCTCTGTGATTGTCCTGACTATGGCAGCCAGTCTTCTGAGAGCAAAGCCCAAGGTAAGTAGTCAGCCTTCCCCTTACTGTCCCCGAATTTGCCCAGAGCAGTTTCCCTCTGCTGCCCTGGATGTCTCAGGCCAGCAGAGTGCTTTGCCATCCCCGCCGCCCCCAACCCCTGTGGCTTGCTGCTTTCCTGAGTTTCCTTTGCTAGGTTTTCAACATCTGTCTGTTCCTCTTTCCTGTGGCACTAATACTTGCTGCTGACTCTCTCCTGACTGCTGAACTTTCTTGAGGCAGGGGGATTCCCATGTTTTACTGTTTTCAACTAGACTTAACCTGGAATTTAATTCCCTACTACATAAATTGCTTGTTTTAGGTACCAATATCTTTTGAGGATGTGTCTGTGTACTTTACAAAGGCAGAATGGAAGCTTCTGGATCTCAAACAGAGGAAGCTCTACAAGCAGGTGATGCTGGAGAACTACAGCCATTTGGTGTCAGTGGGTAAGTGACCCTACCATGTACACACACCCAGTCCCACCTACTGTCTCTGGACTCCAATTCTGAATTTTTTTGCTTGTTGATGGCTATGAACCCAAGAATAAGTACATTTTTTATTTGACCCATACCTTGTAGATCAGCTGTGGTATCAAAAAGAATAATATGGACTTGTAAATGTTCAGGATAAATTCAGTATGACCTTTCAGACTTATTTTGCACATAAAATCATAGATTGCCCAAAAATTTCTTTCTATTGATAAACAGATGCCTATTATACAGGAATATTTACTTGCAGAATTTTAGACTCATTTTATTTTTAACAGCAGATGTATTTGACATTCAACTTACTTTATAGAAGTTAGCAACATCTTCCACTTCCACTGCCTGTGAGGCCCCATGCTAGGGCCAGGCAGTGCATTTGGTTTCCAAGCCTGGAGACATCTAGGCAAGAGCCGGGGCAACTTCCAGCCTGCTGCTCTCTTCTTTCTTCAACATGCTCCACGCTCCTGTGTTTGTGCATCTGTAAGAGGGTGTCCATCTTGCCAGTTCCAGGCAAAACCAAGATTCACAGGTTGTGTGGATGAACTCAAAAGCACCAGGAAGTGAGTGAGAAGAGTAATGAGTCCCAACTTCTTCCTCTAATGAACAGAGTCTAAGCTGGGGCTGTCCTCTGTTCTGGCATCTTTCTAGCTGAGATGGCTCCCTGGCTGGCTTTGAGTTGGGTAAGGATTTGTGAGAATGAGCCCTCTTCCATTTTCTTTCTGACTCTACAGACCACCAATGTCTCATCTGACCCCTTGGAGGGAGACTGGTTCCTTCCCTAGGTTCTCTTTGACCATCAAGAGAAAGTTGGGGACACATCTTCCCATAAGACTTCTGGAATTTTCACTTGAGGGTTTTTGTTTTTTGTTTTTTTGGTTTTTCGAGACAGGGTTTCTCTGTGGCTTTGGAGCCTATCCTGGAACTAGCTTTGTAGACCAGGCTGGTCTCGAACTCACAGAGATCCGCCTGCCTCTGCCTCCCGAGTGCTGGGATTAAAGGTGTGTGCCACCGCCGCCTGGCTTCACTTGAATTTTAGTGGAGAAACATGCTGCCCCCAAGCACAAGACAAGGGCTAATCTTTCTTGGCTATACTTTCTGAGGAGGTCTTTGCTCTCTGAAGACACAGGCTGAACTCTGTTTAAAAATTATTCTGTCCAGCTGGGCGGTGGTGGCGCAGCCTTTAATTCCGGCACTCGGGAGGCAGAGGCAGGCGGATCTCTGTGAGTTCGAGATCAGCCTGGTCAACAAGAGCTAATGCCAGGACAGGCTCCAAAGCCACAGAGAAACCCTGTCTCGGAAAAAAAAAATTCTGCCCTTAGCTAGAAAGGTGCTGATTTTCTTCATTTCTGTGAACAGGGTTTGCTTTCCCTAAGCCTAACCTGGTGTCCCAGCTGGAGCGAGGGGAGAAGCCCTGGATTGCAGACAGAATGGGGACTGCAGCAGCATCCTGTGCTGGTGAGCAAGACACCCTCAGCCAGCTTGCTAGTGGCAAGGGTAAAAAGTAAGGACTGGCCTAAGGAAAGTGGCGTAGATACTGAAACTTTGGGTGAAATGTCCTCTTTAGTGATGGGTGTTAGCCTCCCTTGCTGGGGATGGGTGAAAAGAGACTTTACTGCCCTCTAGAAAGAGCAGAAACTCTCCCTTCTGCCTGCCTGATGTGTTGTTGTTGTTGTTGTTGTTGTTGTTGTTGTTGTTGGTGGTGGTGGTGGTGGTGGTGGTGGTGGTGTTTTATTCTGCAGTTTCTTGATGGGAAAATGAAAGAGGGGGAAGCACTCTGAAAAAAAAAAAAAACCTGAAGTGACAGTCTGTGGCTCTGTCATTACAGGAAATGGGATAAAGAGCAAGATGCTGACTTCAAGGCCGAAACTTTTTGGAAGAGGGCTCCTCGGAGACACCTCGGGATCCATGGTGCAGAGACGTCCTCACGACTTCAGGCCAAATTCCATTGTAAGGTACCGGCGCTCCAGAATCACCGATAAACGGTATCTCTGTCAGCAGTGTGGAAAATTCTTCAGCCGCAGCTCCAATCTCATCAAGCACCGGATCGTCCACAGCGGCGAGAAACCGCACAAGTGCAGCGAGTGCGGGAAGCTGTTCCGGCGGAACTGGGCACTGCTGGAGCATCAGCGCATCCACAGTGGTGACAAGCCCTACGAGTGCGGGGAGTGTGGCAAGACCTTCACGCGCAGCTTCAACCTTATCAAGCACCAGATCATCCACAGCAGCGAGAAGCCGTTCGTGTGCCGAGTGTGCGGGAAGGTGTTCCGGCGGCGCTTCGCTCTGCATGAGCATGCGCGCATCCACAGCGGCGAGCGGCCTTATGAGTGCGGTGAATGTGGCAAGACATTCAGCCGCAGCTCCAACCTTATCGAGCACCAGCGCACCCACAGCGGTCAGAAACCCTACATCTGTCAGGAGTGCGGCAAAGCCTTCAAGGGCATCTCGCAGCTCATCCACCACCAGCGCAGCCACCGCGGCGACAGGCCCTTCTCGTGCCAGGAGTGCGGCAAGGCCTTCCGCGGCCATTCAGGACTTAGCCAGCACCAGCGAGTGCACAGCGGCGAGAAGCCCTACGAGTGCAGCGAATGTGGCAGGGCCTTCGGTCGCCGGGCCAACCTCTTCAAGCACCAGGTGGTGCATGGTGGGGTGCGTCGTGGCCGCTTAAAGGGACTTCGGCGCGGCTGCATGCTCCTGGAGCATCGGCGCGGGCCCCACAGGTCCCAGGAAGCCGGGGAAGGCAGCTCGGCCGAGCCCCAGCTCATTGACGCCAATAAGAAGCCCCAAGTGTGTGAGCACTGCGACCAGGTCTTCGAGAGCAAGTTGCTGCTGTGTCGCCATTTGCGCATTCATGACGACGAAGATGACAAGAAACAGAAGTCGATTACTGTGAGTACCTCAGGTTCGGAGGAGAGGTCGCTGCTTAGCCAGGATTTGGAATCCCAGCCCGCAGAAGGAAACGGCAGCGAAAGCAGTGAAAGTTTCCTGTATGCTGAGAAGGCCCAGGGCCCATCCTCACCTTGAGGCCAGAAACAGGGCAGCAACTCAGAATGGCAGGGTAGCCCCCTTCCCCAGTGTGAAACAGAAGTAACTCAGAAACACAGGGTACTCCCCACCCATCCACCCAGTGTAATCTGCCCTACTCTTTCCCTGATGAGTTGAAAAGGAAGGGCTCCCTCCCTAGTCCTGGATGATCCAATTGATACCTAGAGGTTGCACAGGAAGGCTCCTCAAGGAGCCTAGGCAGGGTACTCCTGTGTGTGCTTGGGTGAATGAGTGCCTGTGTGAATGGGGTCTCCAGGGCAGCAGATTTGCATAATACAGAGTTGGTCTCTACCATTCACAGGAGAATTGCTTGACGTGGTTGAGGAAGAAGGAGCAGAGTCCAGCCAACTCTAAGCACAATTACATTGAAGTTTACAGGGGATTACCCGTGTGTCCTTTCTCTTGTTAATGTGTTAGTGGGGGTGGTTGCCTCCCATTAATAGATGTTTGTGTTTCTAGATAGAATATACTAAAAGCACTTTATTCCATTAAAAGTTTATAAACTAGCCTGCTGTTCTGAAGCAGACTAGACTGTCTGTGAAAACTTGGGCCTTGTGTATGTGGCCCTGCTGCTGTTTGGAGGGTCTGTACCAAATCTTGCAGAGAGGTTAAGACCCAGGGACCCTGAATGTCTCCTTTTGGGAATGGAGCCCCTTTTTTCTGGTCCCTCTCAGGAACAGGATCTAAGTAAGACTTGGCAGCATTTGTACCCCCACCACCCTGCTGGCTTCAGTCTCCTCCCCTCCCACTCAGGGAAGGCCACATTGGCCATTCCTATCCCCTGCTCCAGTGCCTAAAGCTTCCAGTTTGTCTGCTAATCCCTTTTAAGCCACCACTGTGTGGTGACAGCAGATTAAGAATTCACACTTAGGTGGCCCCTGTAGTGAGTCTGGCCAGACAGTTATCTTTAAGATGACATTTCTTAGCATATTAAAGTTGCCATTACTTTGATGTGCTTTTATTTGGGGATACCATTAGTTGAAAATGGAGATTTTTGTTATGTGAGAGTGTTGGAGAATTTATCTTTTATAGAAATTCCTCACACAGAGGGCGTAGCTCAGAGATGGAGTATGTGCCTAGCAGACTACAGGCCCTGTGTCCCATCCCTGCCCCTCCCCCAAGAAAAGCTTGGACAGAAGGAAGGGGCCTTTCCAACCCATGACTGATGTGCATGGTGGCAAACCTAGCCCTGAATGATGATGTAACAACCCCCACCTCCTTTCCCTTAAGCCTGGCTGGCTCTTTAGAAGGCACTTTACTGCCAAGGAAGCCAGTGGCAGTCCTATTCCACCTGTGCTGCCCCCAGGAGACCTGTCCCTTGGCATACTCAGCTCAGCATCCTGGGTAGCAAACTACTTTTCAGCCCTCTCCTATCCCAGAGGAGAGAAAGATTTTGTCCCAAAGACTGCCCTGGGGGCAGTTTGTTGGTACAGGTGAAGTGGAGGCAGCTCTTGTACACTCCAAGAAAGAGTGGTGGCACCTCCCCTGAGTGATGTTCAAAGATAGCTGCATCCCAGGATGCTGGCTGGTTGGAGCCCTGGTCATAAGAATATACACAGGGAGGAGAAAGAGAGAGAGAGAGAGAGAGAGAGAGAGAGAGAGAGAGAGAGAGAGAGAGAGAGAGAGAGAGAGAGAGAGATTTTATGTATATAAAATGTTTTGTGTAAAGCCCCAGTTTGTAACTTGCTGTTATCTCTGTGTCCTACAGTAGATCCCTGTCTCCCTGTCCTGTGATTGTTCTCCTGTCTGTGAGCCTGCAGCTGCTCAGCCTTGTGTCTGCACTCCAAGCCCCATGCCTGGGTACTAGTGAAAGAGCCTTGCTCCCTTGATCTGCTGGGTTTGAGTTATGTAGTGGTTGACTTCATGGAAGCAGTTCAGAGTATGCGTCAATTTGGTTTCCCAATAGAAAAAGAAATGCTAGGAACAGTGTCTTTTAAGTCCCTGGTAAAGTAATTGCTCGATCTACTAGGCCTCACACAGAGCAGGTGCCCACAGTGGGAGGCTCTGTGCAAGCTCTGGCACATACTCTTGGGTGTTCACTTCTATGGCTCCAGGAAATGAATGAATGATGCCTATCTTCCGAGACAGTCACCAGCTTCTTTACCCAAGGCTGAGTTCCTAGAGGAAGGGTCATGTACAGGCATTTTCAGCAGGAAGTGGGTCTGCAGGGAGAGCTGTAGAGCCCTTCAGAGTGGGGATCCTGGAGCATTTCAGGGTCTCCACTGGTTGCCTACATACATAGCAGCAGAGCTCTTGGTCCATTTCCTCCTTCAGTTCCTGTTCCTAGATGTTTTCAGCAAGCAAAGTAGTGAGTTCTCTCAGGTATGCTAATCAGGTATGCAAAATGAACAGAACAGGTTTCTCCTGGAAGAAAGTCAAAGTCACCAGAGGGACACTTGTGCTTTTCCTTGTTTCCTGCCTGAAGCCTGTGCTTCATCCCTCAAACTGGATGGGGAATGGGGCTGATCGTTCATTTGTGTGTTTTGAGGGGCAACTAGATTATAAAAGCTTAAACTATCAGAATCCCTGCTGTTTTCTAGTTCCTCCTCTTCCTGTCCCCCACCAAACTTTACCCTTTTGTCTTGTAAAAGACTTTGGCTGCTTTTCAGGTGCTGTGGGAATGGCCTAGCAGTGTCCCAGGAAACTCATAGATGGTCGTCTCGGAATTAATTTATCATGAGGTGGAATTTTCAACATCTTTGTTGGGTGAAAAGCCGACAGCTACTTGGAAAGGTGCTCCCCCATGTGGAGAGGGCTTAAAGTAAACAGACAGGTAGTGGGTTCAAGGTTACAAGCAAAAGTCAACTCTAACCTAGAAAGAGCCCAGTGATGCTAGAGTTATTGGGGAGGGCTTGCTTCCCATGTGGGAGGGCCTGTCTTAGTCTGCCCAGGGTGCAGGCTTTTCACAGGGCCCCATACTGCAACTCTGAGACCAGGATTGCCCAACAGGCTCCTTATCAGAAAACTTCATCAGTCTCAGAAGAGGCACCACAATGCCTGCCTTCTGTTTGTTTCTGCTACCAAGTTTCAGGCAGCATGAAAGCACCCACCTTGTAGCTTTCCAGGCAAGGAATAGAATATAAGGGATTTCAGGTGTGTGTGTGGGGGGGGGGTTGCTGAAAAGTGCCTTGGTTGGAAGTGGGGAGGATGTGTATTAGGGAAGCCTAGAATGCACACAGGACCGGACAGTCCTGAGTCGGGAGCTCAATTACTGTAGAGTATGGAGCACCTAGGATGCCATGTGTAGGAAGTCAGACCCTAGCTGGTTCCATTTGAGGAGCAACTTTCCTAAACAAGAAATGAAGTCAGTGTTAATGAGAACTGATATGGGGTGTGAGTGCACACCTCACCAGCCACTCTGGTCATTTAGATGGTTTGGAGGTCTGTGAAATCTCTGCAGTGAGACAGCCACCATGAAGAGGTAGTGAGAAAGAAGAGGAAGGACTCGAGTGACCCCAGCCACCTTCCTCTGAGTCCCCACTAGCCCTGGCATTTCTAGCTGCCTTCATGTTTTTGTGAGCCCCAATTCATCTGTGATTTCACAAAACAATTGCCCTCTGAGATTCCTGGACACTTTCTTTGTAAGGGGGTTTCTTTGGGGGATGTTGTTTTAAGCTTGTATAACCCAGACTGGCCTTCGACTCTTAACCCTCCTGCCTCTAACTCTTAAGTGCTGGAATTACAGGTTTGGGCCACCATGCCTGGCTTCTGAAGATTTTTTACATTTGTATCAAGTTCAAGGCCTTGCATGTTTGTGAGAACAGTGCCTCCTTTTGTGTTCAATAGGACTGATTAAGCCTGGTCTCTCTCCATTACCCGAGAATGGTGAGAGCAGAAATGAAGGCTTACTGTGCATTTGGAGGCCTCCTGACTCATTAACATTCTTTGGTAGATTGGTAGGGGTATATACAGCTTAAAGTGTGCCATTGTGGATGGATTGTGATGGGTGTCTGTACCCTTAAAACCATCCTTATTGTCAAGTCAGTAAACATTCAGTATCTTATAATTCCTCCTTTCTGCTCCTCCGTGCCCCCGTCCTTATAACCACTGCTTTCCATCACTGGTGATTACCTTCTTTGTAAGTGGACTTCCACAGTGTTTGTCTAGTCTCTCGGTGCCATTTTTTAGATATTTCCAGGTGTTTGTGTGTATATCCACACTTGGTATTTATCTCATTGTATACATGCCCCCCAATGTCTGTTGATGCCTGTTAGTTAGTATTTACATTCTTTCCAGTTTGAGACAAATAAAGCTGCTATGAGTATTTGTATGCACATTCCAATGTGAACGTGTTTTTATTTCCCTTGAGTGCTTTGTTAGGAGTGGAAGAGCTGGTTCACATGGTGACACATTGTTTAACTTTGGGGAAGAACTGCCAAACATTTCCAAAGCACTCGCATTATTTCATATCCCTAATAGCTGTTGTATGAGAGGTCCAATTTCCCCTGCCTTCATCGGCACTTATTGTGTCTATCTTAGTGGAACCACCCTAGTGTGGGGGAAGTTGTAACTAATTGTGGGTTTGATTTGCATTTCCTTCGTGACTAAAACACTGAACATCTTTGCATGCACTTGTTGGCCATTCACATTTCCTTTGAAAAGTATGTTTATCTTTTGCCCATTTTAACTGAGTTGTTTGTCTTCTTACAAAGAATTACTGACATCCCTTCATCAAATATATTTTTAACAATATTTTCTTCCAAACTATGTATTTTAAATTTTTACTTTGTATTTTTTTTTTTTTTTTTGGATTTTTGAGACAGGGTTTCTCCGTAGCTTTTTGGTTCCTGTCCTGGAACTAGCTCTTGTAGACCAGGCTGGCCTAGAACTCACAGAGATCCACCTGCCTCTGCCTCCCGAGTGCTGGGATTAAAGGTGTGCGCCACCACTGCCCGGCTTTTACTTTGTATTTTTGGGGTCGCAGTTAAGAACTCTTAACAACAAAAAAAATCACTAAGACATTATCTTATGTTTGTCTATAGAGCTTTTCATGACTTGGATTTTGTTGTTGATAGTCTTGGGTTTTTTTTTTGTTTGTTTGTTTGGGTTGGGTTTTGCTTTCTTTTATTTTTCAGGTGGGGTCTTCCTGTGTTGTCTGGGCTCGTTTTGAACTCCTGCAGTCATGTGATTACATTGCCTCCACCCCTGGAGCGCAGGACTTGCCATGTGCCACCACACTCAGCTTTGAACCCCTGATAATGCAGAACGTTCTCCCCTTCTTCCTTCACACAGACTTTTAAATAACTATTTGAAAGCCAAAGGGTGCTAGGATGGAAAGTGGGCTATATATGATAGCTAATTATTCTGGGAACTGTGTGGCCAGAACAGGTTACCAACCTTCTCCTGTTTCCTATCAGGGAGGAGTTTTAATAATCAACTTCAGGAGAAATTGGGAGAACTAAAAGATGATTTTTCCCTTTAACATCAAACAGCCTACACTGCAAAATTAAAATGAAACCTATATCATATTTAGTGTCTGGATTTTCCCTGGAAATTTCAAGGTGCCCCCAGGGACCCTAACAAAATTGAATGGCACTGGTGGAGAAAAGGAAAGAAAAAAGTAGAAAGTTACAGGTTGTACATTTATCTCTACTGTGCAGACTCATGGGAGAGCTTCAAAAAGCATTTTTCTCAGCCTGAAGACTCAGACCAGTGTTCACCCACTGACTTGCCCCACTGACCCCTGGGTATTGCTAGAGAAGGGACTGCCACCTTCATTTCCATCCATCCTCTGCCATAGGGCCATACTTTGAAAAGCCCTTTCAGTCCTTAAAGAAAGTCTGTAGCTTTACTCTTAGGTTTCGCTCTCTAACCCAGTTTATGTATTGTATGAGATCAATTAAAAAACCATTCTGGAGGGTATTCCATTTGCCCAGCACCACAGTTGCCAAGACAGTCTTTCCCCCATTGAATTACCTTGGTGCCTTTGTGCAAAGGCAGGTGGCCATATGTGTATGAGTCGATTTCTTCATTCTTGGTAGCACCACATCACTCATGGCAAAGGACTGAATGCTTGTCCCCAGACCTCTGGTCATATTTGAAAATCCTGACCTGCAAAGGGATAGTGTTAGGAAATAGAGCCTTTGAGGATAATTATGCTTCAGGGAGGTCATGAGTTCGGGGCCTTGGTAATGGAATCAGTGCCCTTGTAAGAAGAAACTTTAGTGTCTCCTCTCTCTACAGTGTGAGACTACCGTGAGAAGATAAGCATGCACAAGCCAGAAAAGGGGTCCTTACCAGAAGTGGAATCTTAGACTTCCCAGACCCTAGAACTATGAGTCATAAATGCCTGGTTTATGCCATCAAGTCAATGGTATTGTATTTGCTATTGTATCCAAACTGGCTAAGACAATTAGTCTATCTTACATCATAATCTCTTCATTGCTGTAGTTATGTACATCTTGACATCAGATATTGTGAATGGCTGTTCTTTTTCAAAATTGTTTTACATAATCCAAGTTCGTTGCATTGCCACAGATGCTAGGATTTAATTGGGGTTGCATCTAACCTATAAGTTTCATGGGTGCAACTTCCCCATCATATACAGAGGACAAAATCTCAGAGCGAATGCCTTGGTCCTGTGGCTCTTAAAATCTTTCTGCCCTTTCTTCCATACAGTGGTCTCTGGGCTCAGTGACAGAAATGGCCACCTGCTGTGATCCCTGGTGCTACTGATGCTCAGGCAGTAACACAAGATGGAACTCAGAACAACTAAGCCTGTTACAAAGACCCTAAGGCTGAGTGTGCATGGACAGTCATAGCTCACAGCTGTCATGGTGAGAATGCAGGGTAGCGCACCCTGCAGGTGAACAAGCAGACCAGTGATGGCCGTCAATGGGCCTTCAGTGGACTCAAGTCACTCTGAAGCCATCTGGAGCCCTTGGCCCCCGAGTTTTCTGCCAGTTTTATCCACAAGAAAGCAAGGCCAATCACATCCTACAGCATTTTCCTGTTGAAAGATCCTCGCCCTATCCATTTCTTCTGTGTTTTTGATAGTAACCTCTCTTTTGTAAGCCCTTTTTCTAGCCCTTTGAGGTGCGTATGAGTCCTTGTAAAGGCTTTTGGAGCGGAATGAGGCCTCAAATTTCTGGTGATCATCCTACCTCAGTCTTCCTATGGCTGGGATTACAGAGGTACACCACCAAGCCTGGTTTTGTAGATTTCAAGCAATTTAAGCATCCCACAAGTCCTGCTGCCCCAGGAAGTTGCTGTGAGCATAATATCCCTTTGCCCTCTGTTTGTGTGCTTACGGAGAACACAATTAGAACCCTGGCTGGAAAGCTTGGGAAAATTAGCAGCTCTTGGATCCTAATGCTAGCCAAGGCCAATCACTGCATAGGGGAGGAAAGTGGAAACTTGGGAGGCACCCACTAGAAGCAAAGCCATAAAACAGAGACTTTAGGGAGGAAGCAAAATGTCACATCTGCATGTCTGAGGGCAGAGCAGCCAGCCCAGTGCTCTGTGAGGCTTCACTCTGCTTCTGTGGATGATAAGCACTAGGTTAAAGTCAGGGAACAATTTTATATACCACCTTGGCCAGGCTACAAAACTCAGGTTTTGGTTAAACAACAGTCTAGATGAGGCTGTAAACATAATTTTAGATGAGATTGACTTTAAATAAAGCCATCATTTTCCCTAGTGCATTTCTTTTTTTAATTTATTGATTTTTATTGAGCGCTACATTTTTCTTTGCTCCCCTCCCTGCCTCTCCCGTCTCTTTCAACCTTCTCCCAAGAAAACCAACATTTCTTTTTTTATTCCGAGACAGGGTTTCTCTGTAGCTTTGGAGTCTGTCCTGGAACTAGCTCTTGTAGACCAGGCTGGCCTTGAACTCACAGAGATCCTCCTGCCTCTGCCTCCCAAGTGCTGGGATTAAAGGTGTGCGCCACCACCGCCCAGCAAGACCAACATTTCTTAAGGAGACATGATTTTCCAGCATCTAGAACACTTTATAAAGGTATGATGCTGTAAAGAGACATGTGACACACACCTGTAATCTCTGCACTAGGAAGACTGAGAACAGGAGGATTGCAAGTTTGGAAATGAGGTCTGTACTAAAGCTCAGGTTAAAAGAAGGTAATAAAGGTGGGCTTGGACCCTGTGTGGCTAAGAAGTAATAAGTAATAAAGGAGTTCTCAGGCAGGGATATACACATATCATGTCATATGAAGATGAAAGAAGAAATGAGAGTCCTGCATATGCCAACAAGTCACAGAATGGCCAACCATACAGATTCCAGGGAAGGAAAATGGACTAGATTCTCTTGAAAAACTCAGAAGGAACCTACCCTGGTGAGCCCTTAATCTTAGCCTTTTAGCACTGTGGCGTGCTTTGATTTGGCAGCCCTAGAAAACATAAGGCCTACCCCAACCCCCATTTAAAGGTGATTTGGGTGAGTGAGATGGCTTAGTGAGTAAAAGCACTTGTCACATAAGCCTGACAATCTGATTTTGATTCCTGTAACCCATATTAGAAGAAAAGTCATGACTCCCTGAATATCATCCTCTTACTTTAACAGGAACACTGTAGTAAGTGCACATGGACACACACACATGGCACACTAATAATTAATGAAGGAAAGATTTTTTAAATACTCAGAAGTTAGGATAAACTCTTCTATACAGCATTACATTGTGAGGAAAACAAAAGGTAAAACCATGAGCTATCTCTAATACAAAGTGAAGGAGCTGTCCAATAGCAAATCTCTGAGATATGGTCAGATCCTTATTTGGGGGAAATGGTGATTTTTGAAGACTTCAATTATTCAATAAAGATGATCCAAGAGGTTAATTTTCATCTCAGAAAATAATCTAAAATTAAACAAGAGATGATAGATGGACATAATCAAGAAAAAAACTGAAGTTTAATGAAGCAGAAAAATTGAAAGTGTAAGGAAAGTTTCAGCTTGTTTTCCTTTGAAAGGTCCAATGAGGGGATGTGGAGATGGCTCAGTGGGAAAAGTGCCTGTCTCACAAACATAAGGACTTGAGTTTGTATCCCCAGAACCCATTTAAAAACTGAGCAAGTCAACACGTATCTGTAACCATTGCAGTGACTAGGAAGAAATAAAAGATACCCTAGGTTTCTCTGGACAGCCCATCTAGCCAATTGGTGGGCCCAAGTTTTAGTGAGTACCCTGACTCAAATAAAATAAACTGCCAGAAGTCCATATATGAACATGTGGACACACAAATATGCATGTACACAGACTCAAAAGAAAGGGCCAATGAAACAGATAATTTCTCATAATCCTTATTATAACATGACTTAAAATAA